CTTGTGCTTTACGTTTCAGAGGGCTGCTCCTCCTTATACAGAGTTTAGTCTACAACCAGGTGTGTTCTGTTTTCACCAGGCACACAATTAGCAGCTGGTATAGTCACCAGTATGAGACCAGAGAGATGTATGTTTGACACACCTAAATCAACAGTCTTGGTGGACGGACGCCCGTGCTTACACAAACACACTCTCAAACAAGACAGGACTCGCTTCTTCTGGATTCTCTCAAGGTCTCTGGTGGGCTCATGCTTGTAATTCAGCTGTTTTGACCACCTGGGTTGGCCATGAAAAGGGAGAGTGGGGCTACAGCCAGGGTCAAGAGTGTGTGTGTTTGAGTGCACAAGTGTGTATGCATGGGACATAGTGTGTAAAGCTGAATTTAGACTTGTGCATCACTGTACGTATGGAAATGTGCATCTATTGTTCTGAGATGGTTGCAGAGCTGTTGCATTTATACCTGTGCAAACATTGATGTACGAGCGCCCCCTAGTTATGTTAACATTCTAACTAGGGGGCGCTCATACATCAAAGTACAGAAGAAATCAGGAAATGGAATTGATGCAGATTTTGAGGCAGGCTAAAGGCTGTTTAAATTTTCATCCCAGAACTGGTAATATGCCACTTTATATTAAATGCTAATATTTTGCAGGCAAAGAAAGTAACCACTTAGTGTGAGAATAGGTGGTCAGTCTTTCCAAGTAATGCTAATTTCATTTTCGGACATGTGAGTACCCGCTAGCAGACCAATAGCAGGCAGCTCTGTCTCGTCCAGAGCAGAATTGGATCCACCAATTGGCATGCAGGATGCACAGCTTTGCGCAATGTGTAGTTGAGATTTGGGAGGTTGCGCGTCGGACCATCTTCAAGCCTCAGCGACCTACACTTACCCATAAACCCCTTTCTTTGCATAGGTACGCATTGACACCTATGCGCTGTTGTGGACAAGTCTAAATTGCCTCTAAGTGGAGTACTGGTGGTGCTGTATAAGAGGAAAGGTAGTGAGTGAAGAGGGCCAGGGGGCAGGGGAGGTGGTGTTACTGGTAAAAGTGAAAGGGGTAAGAGAGTTGAACAGCTGTCACGTCTGTCACTCCACAGCTCTGTGCATTGACCTCCTGGCCACCCAACTGTAAAGCCTCATTTCCTTGTTATATTTTTTATTGCAGATAAACACCAGCATGCCAGTTTTTTTTGTTTTTTTTGTCTTTCACCCTCTACATCTGTTTGAAAAGTTCAAAAGACATCATGTGACTTTTCTCATGCCACTTAGTAGACTTGTGTTACTCCACCAAGCCTGACCACGGATTGTGAGGCTGTATCATAGAGCAGTCCCTGTTGGTGCCAGGCTGGCTGTAGCTTCCCCCCCCGCCACACACACACACACACATACACCCCTGGCCTAGAGACATGTGCCCGGCCCTGGCCTCAGTTCCCCTCCACTCATGTCTCCTGGCCTGCCCTGATCTCTCCTGACTCTGGTGAGGAGAAAGAGGCATCTGCTGCCTTTTATGGCAAAGACTTGTCTGGGAGAACTTCACCAAGAACAGACAAAGCTGTGTGTGCTAAAGTGAAGACAGACTATGTACGTATGAGGGGAGGAGTGCTGGCATAGAGGACGTTTTCTTTATCCTAAAATAAACTAATAGTTCCAAAATTTCACCACACAAATGTTTGCAAAAAGTGGAGGAGGCATTTGGATGGAAAATGATTAAATTAGGGAGAGAGGGAGGAAATAGCTCAGTGAGACAGAATGTTTTCAAAACCAAAAGGGGAGGAGGGGCCGAGAAAGGACTTATTTGAACCTTTTACAGGAGTTGAATGTTTTTCTGGGGACTGAGATGTGAGCCCTCTGGTGTCTGTAGATGAGCTCTTTTCTCTTTCACATGATGGAACATGTAGCTCACAGTGCAAAAACCCCTGGCCCACATGAATCCGCCCTAGTAAGCAGAAAGGTTTGTTTTTACTGTGCTTTGAGGAGGAAGAAGCAGACACAGATATGGAGAAATTATAAAACAAGCATGGGAAGAATCCATGTATCGTTTGTTCTTTTATTTCTCCATTTCAAAACAGAATAAAAAAAAAAACAACAGATAAACAGAAAAACAAAATAATGGTGTTTTCCTGTTTTAAAACTAAAATGGGAAAACAGAAGATCTGTACTCTGTTGTGGTTTTTGTTTTGTTTGTGTGATATTACAGTAAATCTAAGGAATGAGGAGGCGCCAGCGTATAATTTCAACATATTTGTGGTATGGCTGATCAACTTTGCCCAAGACTCTCTGAGCCCTGCTTTCACCAGCGCACACACATCGATTTGAAGATAGATATCCTGTCATAAATTACCGGGCATACGATGGACTTGTCCATTAAAACACAGCTACTCATAGATTATTAGTAGTGTGTTTTTCCACTCTCAAAAAGTTCACAAATAAATTCAGCATAAGGTTCCAGTACAGCCATAATTGTGAAGCTTCGTGTTGTTAAGGTATGAATGGGCAACTTCTTTTTCTTGTTCTCAATGATCTTGGTTGGAAGACAAATGGTGTGTGTGCATCTAGCCCCCTCATTTCCCTGCGTTCCTTGGATTTACCACAATATAAAATAAAAAGTAGATTTTCTGTTTTCTACTTTTTATTTTAAAACAGAAAAATGCTGTTACTTTGTCTTTTTTACTTTTTTCTTTTCTGATTTTAAAATGTTTTTCAGTTTTGTTTAGAAATGGGGGAACGAACAATAGACGGATTGGGAAGGAGCTTTTAGTTTGTAAAAGTGAGCAGTAATTTAAATTTGAGTCAGAGTAGAGGTCATGGAGCGTGGTGAAGAGTAAACTGATGGCTAGTGGCAGGATAATAGTTGGGGACACAAATGAAAGGAGAGGTACAAAGAGGTGAAAAGAGAGGTCAAGGATGTGACGGTGAGGCCTGAGGCTTTTGACACTGAACACTAGAGTGTTTGGACAGGTGAGCCAGCAGCCACGAGGAGGGAAGGAGGAAAAGGCGTGCCTAAGTGCTTGAAGAATGGCATAGTATATTGAAAAAAGAAAATGCATAAATGAAAAAGGGGGGCAGAGCAACATGAGGTGAAACAGAAAGGGGCCAGTCAATAATTAGTCAGGAGTCTAGTCTGTGATGTCCTTGGTTTTTAAATGAGTCCAAAACATACTCACTACTACCTGACAGGACTTGCTGAATATCTTGATGAATCATTACCCGACAAATGAGAACCTGAGCGATGTCGTGTATCTGTGAACATAACATGGGACATGAAATCTTGTGTAGAAAGATGGTCCTTCAGGAAGCTCAGGTTTTATTAGGAGGCCCACAGGCAGTTTCCAGCTAAGCTTTCCTTATGACAGATGAATTAGACGCCAGCAGACATCTTAAACGTTTACAAAATAGAAAGCTGGGGCCTGTGTCCAACCATCCACATGCTGATGTACCTCTGTTGTTTGCTGAGGTGCAAAGCAGGGTAGTGCTTCCTGGACAGGGGAATTAAACTGCACAGAGCTTTCGAACACTGTGCTCTGGCCAAGAGGCCTCGTGCTCCGCAGTCCTGTCATGTTTTGTAAGTGTTTATTAGTTCCCATGGATATCCACTGGGCATGTGTGGACCTACCTCCTCTCTGCATTTCTTTCTCACCCTCTCCCCTCGCTGCCTCTTCTGTTCTCCATCCTCTGTCTATTTCTAATGTGTCTGGCTACATGTGATATGGGAATGTAAGTCCTTTTCCTGTTGAAAACCAACCAGTCATGGCCCGTTTTCTGTAAACACAGTTTACAGCAGAGCCTGAAAATGAGAATGCTTTTGGCTGCAGCTGGAAAATAGTGTTTATGGTCCCCTGTCATTAGTGCTAGTGAACAAGAGGTCCAGGAGCTGGAGCTGCCGGATTTTGGGAATAGAAGTGCAACTGGCAGAGAAGGGGAGAAACAAGACCCAAGGACACACTGTTGGATCACTGTGTTTCAACAGAGGGTACAGAGAGAGGAGGGATGAGAACTGGGGACAGAGGGGGTGAGCTTGTGACACGGAAATGAGGGTCAACAAAAGCGCAATGAATTCAGGGAGCAAACAGGCTCCCTTAAGCAAACCCAAACAGTGATAACAGAGCCAAAAAGGACTGAAAGAGTCAATCCAGGATGAGAACAGCCTTGAACAGAGTACTGATCCACTTTGCTACTGTTATCTTTGTCCTAGACATGAGGAGGGAAGCTTGTTGGGCAGTCAGATGCATTACTCTGCACTTTGTGCCGACCGTTCTAGACAATTTAGCCTTTGTTTATTTGTGTCACTCATGTATGAAGCTTTTCGTCCTTTGACCCCACTGTACTCATACAGACATGGAGCTGAGGGAGGGGAGGTTACAGCTTTGAAAGTGTGACATGGCATCCCCATGCTAAAACTAGCAAGGGAAGTACAAGGCGCGGGTGATGGCTCTGTGTGGCAGCTTAACCTTTGGTCAGAAGTCAGTGTTAGGGGTCAGGTACAGCAACATGGGTACTCTTTGTGTGAGCTGTTGAGGTTTCTGTGGACCCAGTGTTAAAAACGTCACAGTCAGTGTTTTGTAACTACTTTTTGTGATTTTTTTTGTTTGTAATCTGTTTTGTATGTGTTATAGATCTGTGGGTCTGTGTTCAGGCTACTGTATCTACTGTACATAATGGTCTGTCTACAAGTAGCTTTTCCCATTTACAGCACATGGAATTGTACTGCAGGACCGAGATTTGTCCTCCCCATTCACTTTTGGCTCAGTTTTTGGCTGGCGCTGTTTGAATACAATGTGCTTTTCAGCGGCATCCTATAGGCCTGTATGGAAAATTCTTATGCTAGCAGTTCACCAACAGCATATGTCACCTCCCATTGTCTACAGTATCTGAATAAATGGTTCATTTGCATCATTAGGCACCTTTGAAAACCTCAGTTTCTATCTTTCCTGATTATATATTGCTGCTATCATCTCCCTTGCAAGCACCTTAACCTGACCTTTTCTCTTCTGCGTTGCAGGAAGTCGAAGCCGAAGACAAATGGAAAGAAGCCTCCGGCAGAAGAAAAAAAGCAGTACATGGAGCCAGAGTTCACAAAAATTCGTGTGGTGGACTTCGACCTCAAGGAACTGGTGGTGCTACCCAGAGAAATAGACCTCAACGAATGGCTGGCCAGCAACAGTGAGTGACTGCAATGCATGTTAATGATAGAATATCTGTAGAGTATGCAGAGTAGGAACTGATGATGTCCTTTTCAGCCAGCAGAAGCCACTACTGTCATTACTAACTACGTGAAACTAAGTCAGTGTGGTCATTGTAAAAGGGCAAAAAGGATCTATTATCTTATTTGAGACAAATTCCTGTAAGTTCATTGTTTTCTCTGACTTGTGTAAACATTTTTTCAGCCGCTAAGAATAGACTTTTCAGTCAGTATGCAATTGTTATCAGGAATTGATGAGACCTTCCAGTGGCCTTTAACATTATCCAGGCCTGGCAGAACATTGAGCCTATGCACCATCGCTAACTGCCAGCTTTAGACTCAGTACAGCGTTTTAACTCTGACTCCATCATTTCTGGAGTCCAGTAAACTCAGTGTCCTGGCTGCTTGCTTCATCTCATGAGGCTCTTTATTTGTCCGTCTCCCTGACTTTGTTGTGGTTACATGTCCAAACCGTCCGGGTGCTCACTGGGGTGGGGTGTGTGTGAAAAACATTCTTCTTTCCTTTTTATTTCAGGATGGTAAAACTCTGTTATATAAAACAGATGGGCCATGTTTTCACATGTGAATGTGTTTTTTAACATGAAAGATATATGAGCTCGATCGTGTCAGCGTGTATCCTCCACTAATTGGGCTTTTGCTTGAACACTAACATTGCAGCTGAATGATGTTTTGAATTAAGAATGAATATTTTTCCATTTGGTGGCTACTTTGTGGAGCAGGAAAATATGGGATGGCTCCTTTGGGATGGTACAAACACCAAGACTTAATGGTTGGAAGGAATCACAAGGAAAGTTATTTCCTATGTCACAGCGTGATGTATGATTATTTGCACGACATGACATTCAAAAAAATCGCTGGCCTGTTTTCACTAACTGGAGCCAGACCAGTAGAGCTACTGCCCTGGGAGGTTCAGTGCAGGAACCTAAACATTTTAAAGAGTTACCTGTGGTGTTCACACCTCCCAACAACCTTTAGGCGGTAGCTTCGTAGGATTTGTTCAACAGAAGTCACTAGAACAAGTGAAAATGGTCAGAAGTTATGTTTTACAAGATGCTGGTTAAAAAAAAACGGTGGCTCACTTCTTCGCTGCAAGTAAAAACTTTTCGGTGTATCCTCTGTTTGAAGCTCCACATACAGTAATAATGCTTGTAATTGGAATCAGAGTAGCTTTATTGGCCAGGTATGTTAAACACATGAGGAATTAAAAATTGTAATATTTTAATACTGAAATTCAAGTAAATCTCCAAACTGTGAATGTCTGATTAGATGGTCTTTTTATTATTGAAATTGTGTGATTATGTTGGCATTCAGCTCAACACTACTGGATGGACGACATTACAGCTCCCAGAAGTGAAGCAAGTGGGTCGCCCCCAGTATAGGTCATAAAACCCACCACATCCATGTTAGTGCATGGGACATGACTCAAACTAAAGGCTCAAAGTACAGTTGAAATCCATTGTTCCCAGGGGTGATTTGTCGTTTTTGGTAGATATCATCACGCTGATGGGTGTACAGGTGGGGGGAGGGGTGGATGGAGGGATGAGTGTGTGCACGTCATTGTGACTGTCCTACCGGTGAGCAAAGGTAGTAGAGTAGTATGTAGGTCTGTTCATCCACTGGAGAACACGACATGACACAAATACTCCACTTTTATGATCTGGCTGAATCATGGTCATTCATTGACATCATTCTGGAATGTAAAAGTATTTAATGTGCAACAGATGACAACACGCTGAGAACATGTTGCGATGTCTCTCTCTTCTACTACAGCAACAACATTCTTCAACCTTATCAACCTGCAGTACAGCACCATCTCAGAGTTCTGCACTGGGGACACCTGTCAAGCCATGACGGCCTGCAGCACGTAAGTTATCTCCACTGACTCTGGTTTATTCATCGCTCACCTGCTGACATCCATTGGTTTATTCATCAGAAATCTGGTGTCCTGTTGGTTAATTCATCAAGGGAATTTTCCCCTGAGGGCGTACCTGGATCAGTTCTGGTATTTTAACTACCCACACATTCCATCTTGAAACGTGCAGTGTGCAGCTTCAGTGCACTGCATTAAGCTGTATAGTATTTTGTAAGAGCTGTGGTGCACTGAGGTGCACCTTTGTGTCTCTGTGCTTGCTTCATCCGCGTTGCAGCACAGCATATTTAAAGGAAGAGTTCACATTTTTAAGCCTTTCACAAGACAGTACTTGCACTGAAGCACATTGTTGTTCTTGTCCAAACTGGTCCCGAATGTAATTTCACTTTAGTGACAGGGAACAAATCCACAATCGTCATTTATAGGCTAAAGTTCAGCTAAAGTTAATATGGTCTCTTCAGTAGTCAGACCAGTCAGGTGTGTATCTGCCAAAGTTACAGTTTGGTTAGTGTGAAATTCCCTCTTTGTCTGACTGTCTCTAGCTGTGCAGACAAATAAGAGCCATCTGAACTCAAAACAACAGCCATTTACCCATTTTAACTATTAATTTGTCATTTCTGCCTTTGTTGTTTATACGAGGAAAAAAAAGATTTGGAGTCGGTAAAACAGGTGCCGCTGCAGAGTTTAGAAACGGTAAAAGAATAAAGTCTTGTTAAACTTGCAGCTGAATTGTTTACATGATCAGTGGGCTGACAAATCTAGGTTGTTTTGCAGTATTTCAACCTCATGTCTGAATAGGTTAGAAGAGCTATGTTATGAATGTGTAGTCTGGCAGAAGTAGAAGTAATGTACTCATCATTTGACCTTGTTACTATTCATTTTAAATGTATCCATTGAAGCTGCTGAGTCAAACAAGGTCGTCTAGATGTTGATCTCTGGCCATTTGTTCCCAGCTGAAAGCTGCATACCTACATCACTCTGAAGTCACTAGATGGATTCTTTTAAAATGTCTGTCATGTTTTCAGGAGGGTGGTGTAGCTGCAGTTTTCCATGAAGGTGGTTAAATGCTACCGTGTGCATTAAAACAGAGTATTCCTCTGCAGTAGTTTAAGGATGACCATAACACTGAGACCTGTGCATGCTATGTTAACAGAGGGGAGGTGACTGACTGACTGACTGACTACCTGAACTAGTTTGTCCTGTCAGGGTGGGGTGTGGAGTTTGTGTGAGCTCCTGTCTCCGGGAAAGAGGCCTGCGTATACCCACTGTGTATACTGAAGGCCGGAAAAACCTGATTACCAACCACCACTTCTGAACAACAGTCATGACATGACTCCTAACAGATTACATCAAGCATGCACGGTCACCCACATATTCACAAAATGTGGCAGTGATATCAATGACAAACAACATAACTGTCGAGAAATCACACACGTGACAGATTTACTGTTAGAGAGAAACCTGTCACGAGCTGAACTTGATCAACAGCGTGTTTTTTCGCTGCTGTCACCTTAAGCTACTGCTGCTTAACGCACACCGTGAGAAATGGCAGAAATGAATGTGCCTCACCTGCAGTATGAGAAGAGAGAAGGCAGCAGTGCAGATGTTTGTTGACCTGTAAAAAGCTAGTGGATTATCCTCTGGATTAATCCACCGTGTAACATAATTTAGTTTGTTACACAGCCTCACTCTGGATTGAACTAAAGTACTGTAGTTTGGCAAGAACTCTTAAGATCAGGCCCACCATTTATGATTGTACCTTCCTTCCCTGCCTGCTGTCCAGCACCCCAGCCTTTTCCTGCCTGTGCAGGTCTCGTTATCCGTGCCCAGCCCCCTACACCCCCACTTTTGCAGTGAAAGCTGACAGCAGTGGCAGTGCCCCTGCCCAAAGGCAGAGCTCAGCACTATTTTTGGATGAAAATGTTTCCATGAGCTACGAGGGAGCAGGTCCGTTTGGTGGCTATTTGGACCTATTTTCTGTGGATGGTTGGGTAGGTGGCTGCTGACACTGTTAACTTTGAGGGCTAGTTCCATGTTGTTTGGTTGGTAACGTGCACTAAGCTAAGTTTTGTCAACAATCTGTTATCACATGGTCTAAGCCCTGTTGGCAAACAGCAGTGTACAAAACCTTGAATAGTCATTTCATTTAGTAGAAAAACACTTGTGTTGTTAAACATACACAGTGCACAGGTGCAGCCAATATATATTTTGTCCACATGTCACACTGTGCCTCCTTTTTCTCCTTGGTGATGTAACCACCTTGCCCCATCCACACCACCACCCCATCCTGTAAAATAAAATTTTAAGTATCTAGATTATTAAAGATGCCATTAAATAACTATGTCAATTGTTGATATAAAAATATCAGTAGTTTTGATATTGTTTTCTAGTCACCCCACCTGCAAATAATCCACCCTGTGTAACAGCATTATACACTGTATATTACTATATATGGCCAAAGTTTTGTCACATCTGCACATCTGGGTGGTTGTGTAGGAGTGGAGAAGGCATGTTTGTAGATCAGCCAGGGTCTCTCCCACACAGAAACACAAACAGTCTCAGTGTGTGTATGAGCAAGAGTGTTGTCAGAGGCTGGTCCTGGTGCTGTGGTCACAGGAGGTGTCTGCTCTGGATTTGTAACATCTGCACCACCACATGCACATTTCTTTTCAGCATTTTATTTACTTATTATTGACATTTCCAGCTCGCTGAGTCCCTAAGACCAGGAAGTTAAAAACTTCAAGGCACGATATTCACCAAGACGCTAACAGGATTATCTGGATAAGAATGGGACAGAAATGATTAGTATTGTCCCTGCACCGTACTGGATCTTCATTCTGATCTGTATCATTCAGGAAGCGCAGCGTCACTGGGGAAATGGGTTTTCCCTGAGTGAAGAAAGGTGATGTCTCATAGGTCACCTGTGTTTTTGTCTCTTCTTGCTTAACAGGAAGGAAATAATTTGACCATCTTATATTGCAGAAAATGTTAATGTCAGGGCTGCCCCTGCCTCAATCACAAACATTTTTATTAACATTCATTATGATGAGTTAAAAGCCTTTTCACAATTGAATAGAATCCTTTCCCTCAATGCAGTGTGGATGTTAACAGCAGGGCTTGGCATGTTTTCTGTCTCTCTTTCTAGAATATACTACTGGTATGACGAGAGGGGGAAGAAGACGAAGTGCACTGCTCCCCAATATGTCGACTTTGTAATGAGTCTCTGTCAGAAACTGGTCACAGATGAGGAAATCTTTCCTACAAAATATGGTGAGTATCCCTCTGCTGTCGAAAGGTAAATAACGTTGCTCTGCTGCCCCCTGCTGCTTCAGCTGTTCAGATGAAGGGACACAGTGAGTGATGGTCCATAAACATTATAAAGGACTGTCACTTATTCTGCAGTTGTGTTCTTGATTATTAGATTTTGTTTTAGCTTTTAGTTTGAACAGTGACTGAAACAATGAACTGAATTGAAATGGAAATCATATGCAGAAACCCAAACCAACAATGTATTGATCCTACTCTATGTGCCATAGAGCTCAGTGTTCATCCAACAGTGAACTACATACAGTAAGTAAACCAGGGAGCACAGACCTGGTCCTTGAAATGGGATTTCTGTTCCTAATGCCATCTCTCCTGTCTGGTGGTGTTTCCTTTTCTCCCTTCAGGCAAAGAGTTCCCCAACTCCTTTGAGTCCTTGGTAAAGAAGATTTGCCGGTATCTTTTCCACGTGTTGGCTCATCTCTACTGGGCGCACTTTAAAGAGACGGTGGCTCTGGACCTGCAGGGCCACTTGAACACTCTGTATGCACATTTCATCGTTTTCGTAAGGGAATTCAACCTGGTCGACCCCAAGGAGATCAGTATCATGGACGATCTGTCCAAAGTCCTCTGCACCCCCGCCCCGCCACCAGCGCCCGTCCCAGCCTCTTCTGCCTCAGCGCCCTCCCCCTCTTCAGAAAACCACGTGACGGAGAGATGAGCGGGGGCAGTGGTGCCACCGTAGCCTCGGGGGTGATAGAAGATAAGATAGAGAAGAAGGAAAAGACAGCCTGGCCCCCCTCCTGGCCAGCAGGACTAAGAGACCTTCCACTACCCTTATATTTCACTATGACACCACCCTTGC